TTATATCTTAGTTCATAATCGGAGGAATGCCTAGAGCAGACACAGTGCAGAGCATGATTTAAGGGAAAACAGTTATGCCAGGACAAGAATCCATAGCCCAGGTGGCAGCGTTCAGTATCATAAAGATACCTGCTGTATGGCAGGCTTGGGGCAAGAGCCACTCCTCCTGATAAACAAGTTGTAGAACCTTGCTCCAGTTCTTGTTGAAGGCTGCCCTCAGACCGGCAATCCACCTTGGTGACTGTGAACTTTATCAGCTCTTGCTACTGTGCTGCTTGAAAAGCATCTTCCCATAAAACCCATTGGAAGCTGCCAGAAGGCGGCGGTAACCTTGACAGCTCTGTCACTGCTATGTGACTTAAAGCATTCTCCTATAAATCTTCTTAGAAGTAGTTTGCCCATAGATAGAAGTATTGCACACTGCACCCTCTTCACTGTGCACGGCCCACCTTCAAGCCTCGGTGACCTAATGGGGGTGGACCCCTTACTGCACATGGCCCTTGCCTTCGTGGGAACGGGTCCCTTGCTGTGCACTGTCCACCTACTGGCCTAGGTGACCTAATGGGGATGGACCCCGTGTTTTATTGCTCACGACCCTATCACTATCCTTAAAGATGATTTCACTCACTGCCCTGCCCCCTAACCTATACACAATAAATACTCATGCTTCTGGACATTCTGGGCCTCGCCTGACTCCGCTTATAGGTGGCGTGGTCCTCTGAGCCCAGCTGCGTTTCCTTTGTACTTCTGTGTCCTGTCTCTTTATTTCTCGGATGTGCCTCAGCACAGCATAAGGCTCACCCCACGACCCTGTGGGGCCCTCAGCCCTACAGGGTGGGGCAGAGAAGACATCTCAGAGACTATCAACCTTGAGCCCCACAGCAGCGAGGTGGGGATGGAGCTGCTCCTCTGGCCTTGCCCCGCTTCTCCAGCGTGGCTTCCTTTAGCATCTCCATGGTCTTGGTCACCACATATAGATTCTCCCCACCCTCCACAAGCTTCTGGAGGAAGGACTATGCTGGCTACTTCAGCTTTGTGGAAGGGATGTGGCTAGACTCAGAGGCTGCCAGCGGGTAGACCCTGTGCCCATTTCAGCTGCACCCTGGGCCCACGGTTGTCTTTCTGTATCTCTCCCTTATTTCATTCCATTGGAAAGGGAGTATATGTGTCCCAGAGGGTCAGGGCCCCATGGATTCTAGTCCTGCTTCTTCCTTCCCCGCCATGTGACCTTGGATAACTCGCTGCCCCTCTTGGGCCCTTTTGTATAATAAAGATCCCAAGATCCCTGCCAGCTTGAGCAGTCCACGTGGTTCTGGGTGGGTCCTGCTCCTCTGTGCCAGCCCTCAGCATCTGGCCTGGTATCCTTAAACTGCCTCCTCACCCCACCCTGCGGCTCACCTCTTCCTCAGGTTCTTTTTTCTTTTTTTTTTTTTTTTGAGACAGAGTCTCACTCTTTTGCCAGGCTGGAGTGCAGTGGCATGATCTTGGCTCACTGGACTCCGCCTCCTGGGTTCAAGCAATTCTCTTGCCTCAGCCTCCTAAGTAGCTGGGACTACAGGCACATGCCACCACGCCCAGCTAATTTTTGTATCTTTTTAGTAGAGATGGGCTTCACCATGTTGGCCAGGATGGTCTCAATCTCTTGACCTTGTGATCTGCCCACATTGGCCTCCCAAAGTGCTGTGATTACAGGCTTGAGCCACCACACCTGGCCTGTTTTTTGTTTGTCATTTGAGATGGAATCTCGCTCTGTCATCAGGCTGGAGTGCAGTGGCACGATCTCAACTCACTGCAACCTCCAACTCCCTGGTTCAAGGGATTCTCCTGCCTCAGCCTCCTGAGTAGCTGGGATTATAGGTGCCCGCCACTACACCTGGCTAATTTTTGTATTTTTAGTCGAGATGGGGTTTCACCATGTTGACCAGGCTAGTCTTGAACTCCTGACCTTATGATCTGCCTGCCTCAGCCTCCCAAAGTGCTGGGATTACGAGTGTGAGCTACTGTGCCAGGCTGGGAGCAGAGTTTTTAAATAACTTGGTGGGTTGGGGGAAACCAGTGAACCACGAGTGCTGATTGGTCAGAGATGAAATCACAGGGAGTCAAGGCTGTCTTCTTGTGTTCAGTCAGTTCCTGGGTGGGGGCCGTAAGATCAGATGAGCCAGTTAATCAATCTGGGTGAGGCCAGCTGATCCATCAAGTGCAGGGTCTGCAAAATATCTCAAGCCCTGATCTTAGGAGCAGTTTAGAGAGGATAAGAAGCTTGTAGCCTCCAGCTGCACAACTTTTGTGAGCCATAATTTCTAATCTTGTGGCTAATCTACAAAGGCAGTCTAGTACCCAGGCAAGAAGGAGGTCTGCTTTGGGAAAGGGCTGTCACCATCTTTGTTTGAACTATAAACTATAAACGAAGATTTTCCCAAAGGTAGTTCAGCCTGTGCTCAGGAATGAAGGAGGACAGCTTGGAGGTTAAAAGCAAGATGGAGTCAGTTAAGTTAAATCTCTTTCCCTGTCTCAGTCATAATTTTGCAAAGGCAGTTTTAGGCCTCTCTCCTCCCATCACAGCCCACTGGCTCCCTGATGTTGCTTGTGGTGACAAACTGGGACCTGGGCCCAGGCCGTGGGGATTCTTGCCTCAGGCCTGGCTTGGCAATAGGCTGGGTTGTCTCGGTTCCTGAGTCAGGTTCCAGCACTTCCGGGTGGGAGAGTTTGGGACCGATGTGGTGTGTCTCCCAGAATAATGTGCCTTTTCCCTCCCTCTGTCCCAGGCAGAAGGGTCAAAGCAGGCAACATCGCTGAGGCCGTCCAGTTGCCTCACCAGGCTTCAGTGGTTTCTCAGGACCCAGGGTCCTGTGATCCCTGGTCCATGGCAGAAGTGAGGATGGGAATGAGGACAGTTACGCCACCCCCTCCTGCCTGCCCAGTGGACAAGCACTAGCCTGAGGTCAGGATGCTGAGGGAGGAGCCCAGGGGTTGTGGGTAGTTGTTCCAGGCAGGAGCCTCTCTGAGTGTGTCAGCACAGCCCTGGCCAGTCTAGCAGATGGACTCTGGTGGCAGGGGCTGGGAGGCAGAAGAGGAGAGAGGAAGCTGGCCTCCAGCCCAGCGGGAGCAACCACAAGGATGGCGGAAGGGCTGGGGACAAGCTCAGCACCCGTCCTCCTCACTACCGGGTCACACGTGCCCAGGAAAAACTAGCAATAAGAGATCGGAGCATTGATAAAAGTGACTTTATTGAGTTGTCCAGGGAGGTCCTGGGGTCTCCTCACTTTCCCCAGCTCTCCAGTCACCATCCCCAGCTCAGTAATAGAGACCACCTTCCTCCCATGAGAAAGAGCTCTGGAAACTCATCAGTGTATAAAAGAGGGGATAGAGAGAGATAGGGATTCTCTGGATAGGGACCCTGTGCCGGAGTAGGGGATCCCCAGTAGAGGGCACAGGAAGAGCAGGAGCCTGGGGGCAAGAGAAGCAAGAATCGAGGGGAGGCTCTCAGGGGAGGCAGAGGGAGAAGAGAGGGGGAGTCCACAGTGTCCTTTTAAATCTGGCCACAGCCTGGCTTTTGTCTTCGCCTCCAGCTTGTTCCAACCCACCCTCCCCTTTCCCCTCTGCACCTTCTCTTCCAGCCCTAGGGTGAGTCTTGCTGCTGCGCAGACGTTCTCAGTCATTGTACATCTTCCTTTCTTTCTCCACACCTTTCATCTAGGGTCTCTCTCTCCTCTCTCTTTTCTGTCCAAAGCTCTCCCTTTTTTTTTTTTTTTTTGAGACCGGGTCTCACTCTGTGGCCTAGGCCGGAGTGCAGTGGCACAATCTTGGCTCACTGCAACCTCCACCTCCCAGGTTCAAATGATTCTCCTGTCTCCGCCTCATGAGTAGCTGGGATTACAGGTGCACGCTACCATGCCCTGCTAATTTTTTGTATTTTTAGTAGAAACGGGGTTTCACGATGTTGGCCAGGCTGGTGTCGAACTCCTGACCTTAGGTGATCCAACCACTTTGGCCTTCCAAAGTGCTGGGATTACAGGCGCTCGGCCTCCCCATTCTTTAAGAATCAGTTCAGCACTTTGGAAGGCCGAGGCAGGCAGATCACAAGGTCAAGAAATCGAGACCAGCCTGGCTAACAGGGTGAAACCTGTCTCTACTAAAAAATACAAAAATTAGCCGGGTGTGGTGGCATGCACCTATAGTCCCAGCTACTCGGGAGGCTGAGGCAGAGGCAGAAGAATCACTTGAACCAGGAGGCAGAGGTTGCAGTGAGCCGAGATCGTGCCACTGCACTCCAGCCTGGAGACAGAGTGAGACTATCTCAAAAAAAAAAAAAAAAAAAAAAAAAAATGGCCAGGCGCGGTGGCTCACGCCTGTAATCCCAGTACTATGGGAGGCTGAGGTGGGTGGATCACGAGGTCAAGAGATCGAGACCATCCTGGCCAACATGGTGAAACTCCCATCTCTACTAAAAATACAAAAAAGTTAGCCGGGCATGGTGGTGCGCGCTTGTAGTCCCAGCTACTCAGGAGGCTGAGGCAGAAGAATCACTTAACCGGGAGGCAGAGGTTGCAATGAGCCAAGATTGCGCCACTGCACTCCAGCAGCGTGGTGACAGAGCCAGACTCCATCTCAAAACCAAAACAAAACAAAAGTAGAATCAGTTTAAACATCCTACAGTGAAGGTTTTGAGATCGCCCTGGGCCAGGTGTAGGCTTCCTCCTCAACCTGCTCCCCCCAGCCCCTCCTCCCCTGCTCCCACCCCACCTGTGGTCATTCTCTGTTCTGGATTTTCTGAGTTTAGCACAAACCAGGCACAGAGTAGGCACCAAAAAATTCCAGGCACCAAAGACGGTGTTGGGTAAGATGACAGAGAGCAAGCCAGCGAACCAGTAGGTATTTAGGGGTAATAAAGGAGAAAGGGGCGGGACGCACTGGGGGCAACGGAGGCAGAGGGAGTCAGAGGAAAGGAGACGGCATAGGGGCAGGGGTGTGAGGTGTGGCTGGAGGAGCTCCCCAGGTCTTCAGACCACTGTGCTGAGGGTGGAGGAGCCCTCGGAACGCACGGGCAGCACTGGGGCCCGCTTGAGGGAGCGCCGGGTCTCATCTCGGTTCTGCCACACATAATGCACCAGGTAAGCCACAACGAGTGTCAGCCAGCCCCCCATGGTGACCAGCAGGGCCACATCGGTGCTCCTCCGGGCCCCGCCCCGCCCTGCCCCACACAGCTCTTTCTCCCCTGCCAGCAGCAGGAACTCCTGCCCCACAAAGTCCGGTCGGGCTCCGGGGCCACACACGATGCCTGTCCCAGTGCCTGGTGCCAGCCTCACCTGCCTGAGCACTTCCTGGAGAGCGCAGTCGCAGTGCCATGGGTTGGCGGATAGGTTCACTTGGATCTGTAGTCCCATAAAGGCCTCCACAGGCACCGAGGCCAGCTGGTTGGCAGAGAGGTCAAGGTGGCGCAGTGTGCCCTCCAGGCCCTGAAAAGCCGCCCCTGAGAGGTGGGCGAGGGCATTATGGGACAGATCCAGCTCCTCCAGGACAGCCAGGTGCTGGAAGGCACCAGCAGGCACCGATGCCAGCTGGTTGGCATCCAGGTAGAGCTTGCGGGTGTCGTTGGGGATGCCGGAGGGCACAGCGCTCAGGCCTGCCTGGCTGCAGCGGAACGTCCGTTCACCTGCTTCCTTTGCCACGTAGCAGCCCCGGGGAGGCACCTGGGGACTGGGCACAGTACCACCTGTGCCTATCACCAGCAGGAGGGACAGGAGGTGACCTGCTGGTGGGAGCATGGCCGCAAGTTGGCATACTCCTGGAGTGGAGTAGGATCTGGGGAAGAAAAGGTCACATAAAGGAAGAGTGAGTAAAGAGAATCACATGCCCACTGCCAGCTCTCTCCTCCTGAGGTCCCTTGGGGAGTCCCTTTGGGCCGGGGCTTCCTCTCAAGACTGGGTGACTTGTTCACTTCCTTCTTGGGGTATCTTGTTTTAAGGCTCCTCAATAGGGCCTTTTGGGTAAAGGGTCTCTTGTGCTTCAAACTCTTTTAGGGTCTATTGATTCTTGAAGGTTAATCTATGAGGCCCTGTTGGTCATTCTGGGTCCGGGGGTTTCTAAGTTTCTGCCTCTATGTATTGATCTCTCTCATTGGAATAAAGTCTTTTTCCCCTATCTGCCTGGGTGGCTGCCAGGTGGGCTAGGTAGCCACCAGGGGTCTAGTTGGCACTTGTGTGATGGAGACAAGTGGGACAGATGACTGATAGGGTGCCAGGGCATCCAGCTAGGCCGGGTGACTAGGTAAAATGGACTTCTGGCCCACCTTCTATGCCCATCAACCCCTCTTCTGGGAGTGCCCACCTGTCTGCCTGCCCAGCTCTGTCCTCTCTGCCTTGCACGGCCTTCCTCCTCCTCCCTCTCCTCCTCTCTTCCTCTCACCCTTCTTGGTGGTAGAGCCTTCTCCAGTGCAGCTGCCCTCTCCCGGCTCCCTGCTGCTGGGCTCTGGAGACCCGCTTCCTCCTCCTGTTTGCTTGTAGCTGCTGGAAGTTGGGGGCTGGGACTTAAGAGTGTTGGGTTTCCTGCATGTGACTCCGGGCCCAGGTGTCGGATACCTGAGCCATGGTGTGGCCAGGCAATGCCAAGAGAGGGCAGATCCTGGACCCTGATGAACTCTGCCATGGGGATACCAGGCCCCAGTTCCATTCCCTGCCCCAGGCTCCCCTCCCCAGCCTTGATACTATCATCTTCCCTCAGCCTTCGAGGCTGAGACTCTGTTTCCAAGAACCCCTCTTCCCTGCCCAGAACTTGGCTGGGCAGAAGGATCCCTGCTTGGCAGGCCTGGGGGGCAGAACTGAACTGGGCGGGCCCCATCTCACATCCACTGTCTCCAGCAACCTGTACACCCCCAACTCCATTCTCCCCCGCCGTCTGCTGCTCCTCTTGTTTTGTTGTTGTTGTTGTTTTGTTTTTGTATTTTTGTAGGGATGGGGTTTCTCCATGTTGGTTAGGCTGGTCTTGAACTGTTGACCTCAGGTAATCTGCCTGCCTTTGCCTCCCAAAGTGCTGGGATTGCAGGTGTGAGCCACCATACCCGGCCGCTTCTGCCCTTCCTTCACGCTCTGTGGCACTTTCTTCCACGGTGAGCAAACTTCCCTTAGCCTTCCTTGGAAAACATGTCTGTCCAGGGCCACATCTCCTGGCTCCTCATAGTGCCCAGCTGTCTTGCCTGCCAGGGGTGCTGTGGTTCAACTTTAGTTTGATCTCTGTGTGGTGGATTGATGGCCTCTCTAGGAGTCAGAAGGAATTCTTTAAGGCACCTGAAGCCTGATGTGGTCGCCTCTGAGTTTTCCTGCTGATTTTATGATCTGGATGAGAACCAACTCAGGTTCTCTCTGCTGGAGCCTTGGACTCTCAGGGTGGCACTTTGAACCCTCCTTCAGGCCTGGGCACCAAAGAGGGCTTGGATGACTTGTTCCCCAGGGCATCCCGGCCCCAAGCATCATTTGCAGGCCATGCCACTCCGTGATACCAACCTCTCCTAATGTTCACTGGGTAGTGGGAAGGAAGGATTTCAAGGCAGAGGATGAGATTCATTTGTGACCTGAGTATGTGACCTGACGCTGCTGGTTGGGAAGAGCTGCCAGGGTTGAGCGGATGTGAAGGCACTTTGTGAAGTGCTGTGCAGTGGCGAGTTGTTAGGATTACAGTCTTCCAGAACACATCGGGTCTTCCTCCATGATTTCAGTACCATGCCAGGCTTTTCCCCACCACCTCCTCTGGTATGCTCTTCAGGGGCAGGGGTGACAAGGGGTCATAGATGTGATCCGTGTGGATGACCCGTCTCATTCCTTAGCCCATGGTGGCTTCTCCCCTGCAACTCCCTACCCACACTATCTCCAGTTCGGTGCTGGATTCAGAGCCTCAGGGATTGATAGAGCTCAAAGGAAGGGGCCAGCCAGTTGACCCTTCTTTAGTTTTCAGATGGGTAAACTGAGGCCCAGAATGTGACCAGAGTTACACAGTGAGTCAGTGGCCAAAGACCAGAGCCCTGTTTTCTGACTCCTTGTCCAACCTCTTCCCATTGCCTGCTAGCACCTCTGGTCTCTGTGCCACACTTACCCACACCCTACATCCTTGCATGTGGAGCCTGATGGTGCCCATGGTATTGTGTAGCACTCGGAAGCCCTCCTGCCAGGTCAGAGAGGTAGAAGAGTGGGGTGTCACAGAGACCAGACAGGATATACTTACATGAAGGAAGATGACATCATATGCAGTGGAGACCTTGCTGAGAAGGACAGCCTTGCTGGTTTTTGCAAGACTGTGGTGACCAGGACTGGACATGGAATTGCAGAGCTCAGTGCAAAATAAAAATGGTGGGGAGGGGCCCCTTGTTTCAAAACCTGTTAAGAATTTCTTTAAAAAAAAAAATATATATATATATATATACACATACATATTTTTAAAGATGGGGTTTCACCATGTTGGTCAGGCTGGTCTTGAACTTCCAACCTCAGGTGATCTGCCCGCCTTGGCCTCCAAAGTGCTTGGATTACAGGTGTGAGCCACCACACCTGGCCAAATTTCTTTTTTTTTTTTTTTGATGGAGTCTCCCTCTGTCACCCAGTCTGGAGTGCAATGGTGTGATCTCGGCTCACTGTAACCTCCACCGTCTCTGGGTTCAAGAGATCCTCCTGCCTCAGCCTCTGGAGTAGCTGGGATTACAGGTGCCTGCCACCACGCCTGGCTTATTTTTGTATTTTTAGTAGAGACGGGGTTTCACCATGTTGGCCAGGCTGGTCTCAAGCTCCTGACCTCAGGTGATCAGCCCGCCTTGGCCTCCCAAAGTGCTGGGATTACAGGCGTGAGCCACCGTGCCCAGCTCTTTTTTGGGCGGGGGGATGGAGTCTCATTCTGTGGCCCAGGCTGGAGTGCAGTGGTGCAACCTCAGCTCACTGCAACCCCCATCTCCCAGGTTCAAGTGATTCTCCAGCCTCAGCCTCCCGAAAAGCTGGGATTATAGGCGCCCGCCACCATGCCTGGCTAATTTTTGTATTTTTAGTAGAGACAGGGTTTCACCATGTTGGCCAGGCTGGTCTCTAACTCCTGATCTCAACAGAGTCTCAAGAAGGTCTCACTCTGTTGCACAGGCCAGTCTCAAACTTATGAGGCTCCTTGGTCCTTGGCCTCCCAAAGTCCTGAGATTATAGGCATGATCCATGCACCCAGCCTTGAAATTCTGTAGTGGCTCATGTAGTGAGCACTACGCCCTGCCGAAATGGTTAAGAATGTCAAGGCCGGCTGGGCGCGGTGGCTCACGCCTGTAATCCCAGCACTTTGGGGGGCCGAGGCGGGTGGATCACAAGGTCAATAGATTGAGACCATCCTGGTCAACACCGTCTCTACTAAAAAAAAATACGAAAAATTAGCTGGGCATGGTGGCGTGTGCCTGTAATCCCAGCTACTCAGGAGGCTGAGGCAGGAGAATTGCCTGAACCCAGGAGGCGGAGGTTGCAGTGAGCCGAGATCGTGCCATTGCACTCCAGCCTGGGTAACAAGAGTGAAACTCTGTCTGAAAAAAAAAAAAAAAAAAGAATGTCAAGGCCTTGCTGGGTATGGTGTAATCCTGTAATCCTAGTATTTTGGGATGCCGAGGCGGGTAGATCACTTAAGACCAGAAGTTCCAGACCAGCCTGACCAACATGGTGAAACACCATCCCTACTAAAAATACAAAAAATTAACTGGGCCATGGTGGCACATGTCTGTAATCCCAGCTATTTTGGGAGGCTAAGGCACGAGAATCACTTGAACCCAGGAGGCAGAAGTTTCACTGAGCCAAGGTCGCACTACTTCACTCCAGCGTAGGTGACGCATCAAGACCCTGTCTCAAAAAAAAAAAAAAAAAAAAAGAATTTTAAGACTGGGTGCATGGCTCATGCTTATAATCGCAGCACTTTGGGAGGCTAAGATCCAAGGAGCCTCATGAGTTTGAGACTGTCCTGTGCAACATAGTGAGACCTCGTCTCTACTAAAAACCAAACAAACAGGCCGGGCGCAGTGGCTCATGCCTGTAATCCCAAAACTCTGGGAGGCTGAGGTGGGCGCATCACAAGGTCAAGAGATCGAGACCATCCTGGCCAACATGGTGAAATCCCATCTCTTTTTAAATACAAAAATTAGCCAGACATGGTGGCACGTGCCTGTAGTCCCAGCTACTTAGAAGGCTGAAGCAGGAGAATTGCTTAAACCCAGGAGGCAGAGGTTGCAGTGAGCCGAGATTGCGCCACTGCACTCCAGCCTGGTGCCTGTCAACAGAGCGAGACTGTCTCAAAAACAAAAAACGAAACAAAACAATAACAAAACTATTTGTCCAAATACATTTAAAAAATTTTTTTTTTTTTTGTTTATAGAGATGGGGTTTCTCCATGTTGATCAGACTGGTCTTGAACTCCCGACCTCAGATGATCCACCGCCTTTGCCTCCCAAAGTGCTGGGATTACAGGCGTGAGCCACCAAGCCCGGCCTGTCCAAATACACTTTTTACAAAAAGAAAAAAAAAATTAGCAGAGCATGGTGGTGCATACTTGTAGTCCCAGCTACTCAGGAGGCTGAGGTGGCAGGACAGCTTGAGCCTGGGAAGTAGAGGCTGCAGTGAGCTGTGACTGCATCACGGCACTCCAGCCTGGGCGACAGGGGTGCAACTCTGTCTCTAAACAAATAAAAATAAAAAAAGAATTTCAAGATGACGACAACAGCAGAGTACAGAACCAAGTCCAGGGCTCTTCTGAGCACAGGGCATGAGGTCTTGTGGGAACGCATCAGCCACATGCCTGTGAGGCTGGCCTTGTAGGTTACCTTTGAACAGCAGTTTCAGAAACGACGGGCATCAGAAGCATGATGGGGACCAGATCAGATGGTCGGATACTAGATGACGTCATCTCTGAGAGTGTACTCACCACGGACTCATTCCTGCCGTGTCAACACGGGCATTTCACAGACTCACATTTGTCTGAGGAATCAGATAATTTTCGATACTCAGGCAGCAGAAGCAACAAGCAACACTTTTCTCTGAGGGTTGCTTGTTAGTTAGGCCAGAAACTCTGCTGCTGGCTACTTGGGTGTCCGTTTTGGAACTGCAGCTGAATGTGGGACAGAAAGCTGAGTAATCTTCCCTTTCCCTCCTTTCTCTCTCACACTGGACAGGGCCTTTAACTGAGGCACAGAAGCTGAGCCTGGCTGTGGATGGAGGGTTATTTCCTTCTAACACTAGGGCAGCTTCCAGGAAAAGAGTGGGACTAGGATGTCCAGCACAGCAGCTGTGGGAGAAGCAGGAGCCCAGCTGGAGCTGCAGATGTGGTTAATGAAGCGAGGCTGGGTGCAAACTCAGTGAAGGAGGGAGATCCCAGGGGAGGGAGGAACTACACTTAGAACAGTGCGCACTACAGGCTGGGGACTGCAGAATTGGAAGAGAAATTGTCTTCCATTTATTTATTTGTGTATTCATTTATTCATTCAGTGAGGATTTCCTGTGAGCCTCATATGCTATTTGAAGGTAATATAGACAGGGATTTTTTTTTTTTTTTTTTTTTTTTTTTTTGGAGACAGAGTCTAGCTCTGTCACCCAGGCTGGAGTGCAGTGGCGCGATCTCGGCTCACTGCAACCTCCGCCTCTTCGGTTCAGGAGATTCTCCTGCCTCAGCCTCCTGAGTAGCTGGGATTACAGGTGCCTGCCACTGCACCTGGCTAATTTTTGTGTTTTTATTACAGACAGGATTTCACTGTGTTGGCTAGGCTGGTCTCAAACTCCTGACCTTGTAATCCGCCCATCTTGGCCTCCCAAAGTGCTGGGATTACAAGTGTGAGCCACCTTGCCCAGCCTAGACAAGGTTCTTAAGGTGCTGGGTCTGTAGCAGGGTTCTCAAAACAGCCTGCACATTCAAATCACTTGGGGAGCTTTTACAAATTAGTTATGCTGGGGCTTCATCTGAACCAATTACATTCAAATCTCTGTGCATGGGGTTTAGGCACTGGTTTCTTTCAAAAGCTCCCCAGATATGTCTAATGCGCAGCCTGAGTTGAGAGTGGTTAGTCTGGAGGGAGACACAGACATGTCTCCACAATGCTTTGATGTGATGCCTGCATTGATGGATGTGTGTACAAGGAGCTTCCCCAAGTGATGTGTACAGAGAGAGAATAAGTATTAATAACACGGGAGAACCTGCTGGCTGTGCAGTTGGTATCCATCCCTTCTCTCCTACTACCAGATAACACACACGGCTTTAGGAGTGGCAATGCACTCAGCCCTGGATGGTTCAACCTGACTGAGCTTCTCAGCCCATCAGAAGTCCTGTTGCCCACTTTTCCAATCTCCTTTGTAGCTGAGGGTGGCCCAATTCTGGTCAATGACATGTAAGCGGAAGTCTGCAAACAGTCTTTGACAGTCTGGGACAGTCTTTGATTTGCTGGTAAGATCAGTCTTTTTTTTTTTTTTTTTTTTTTTTTGAGACGGAGTTTTGCTCTTGTTACCCAGGCTGGAGTGCAATGGCGCGATCTCAGCCCACCGCAACCTCTGCCTCCTGGGTTCAGGCAATTCTCCTGCCTCAGCCTCCTGAATAGCTGGGATTACAGGCACGCGCCACCATGCCCAGCTAATTTTTTGTATTTTTAGTGGAGACGGGGTTTCACCATGTTGACCAGGATGGTCTCGATCTCTTGACCTTGTGATCCACCCGTCTCGGCCTCCCAAAGTGCTGGGATTACAGGCTTGAGCCACCGCGCCCGGCAAGATCAGTCTTTGATCTCAGTTCACTACAACCTCCACCTCCAGGATTCAAGCGATCCTCCTGCCTCAACCTCCTGAGTAGCTGGGATTACAGGCCCACACCACCACATCCCACTAGTTTCTGTGTTTTCAGTAGAGACGGGTTTCACCATATTGGCCAGGCTGGTCTTGAACTCCTGACCTCAGGTGATTCACCTGCCTCAGCTTCCCAAAGTGCTAGGATTATAGGTGTGAGCCACTGTACCCAGCTTTTTTTTTTTTTTTTTTTGGTGAAGGGGTCTCACTGTGTTGTCCAGATTGGAGTGTAATGGTACAAATACAGCTCACTGCAGCCTTGACCCCCACCAAGTTCAAGTAATCCTCCTGCCTTAGCCTGTTATGTAGCTGGGACCACAGACATGTGCCACTGCAACCAGCTACTTTTTTTTTTTTTTAAGAGATGAGGGTCTCACTTTGTTGCCCAGGCTGGTCTTGAATTCTTAAGGCTCCTGCCTTGGCTCACCAAAGTGCTGGGGATTACAGCCTGAGCCACTGTGCCTGGCCCCTACTTTGAACATGAAAGGCTCAACATGAAAGGACAACAAAGCATAAAGGGAAGGTTGAGTATTACTGAGTTGTTGGCTGGAGGCCATTGAACTCCTCACCCAACACCTGCAACCGCCTCCTCTAGACTCAGCATGTGAGAACGAGAACCCCCTAATTTCAGAGCTTTTCAACTTGGCTGTACATTAGAATATAGGCAGTTTTGAAAACTCCTGATGCCTGGGTACACCCACGGAGATTTTAATTGAGTTAATCTGGCATGTGTCTGGTGATAGGAATATATTTTTCTTTTTGAGACAGAGTCTCACTCTGTCGCCCAGGCTGGAGTGCACTGGCACGATCCCGGCTCACTGCAGCCTCTGCCTCCTGGGTTCAAAAAATTCTCCTGCCTCAGCCTCCCAAGTAGCTGGGATTAAAGGCACACACCACCATGTCCAGCTAATTTTTGTATTTTTAGTAGAGTTTTTTGTTTTGTTTTGTTTTGCTTTTGTATATATGTGTGTGTGTGAGAGAGAGACAGAGTTTTGCTCTTGTTGCCCAGGCTGGAGTGCAATGGTGTGATCTTGGCTCACTGCAAACTCCGCCTCCTGGGCTCAAGCAATTCTGCCTCAGCCTCCCGAGTAGCTGGGATTATAGGCATGTGCCACCACACCTGGCTAATTTTGTATTTTTTTTTCTAAATAGAGATGGGGTTTTTCTATGCTGATCAGGCTGGTCTTGAACTCCAGACCTCAGGTGATCCACCCACCTCAGCCTCCTGAAGTGCTATAATTATAGGTGTGAGCCACTGCACCCTACCTAGGGAATTTTCTTCATGTTAGCTAGGTGAGTCTCAAACTCCTGACCTCAGGTGATCCACCTGCCTCGGCCTCCCAAAGTGCTAGGATCACATTTGTGAGCCACCGTGCTTGGCCAGGTGATGGGAACTTTCAGAAGCTCCTCAGGTGATTCTAATGGCAAACTGGGATAAGAATATTTATTTGAGTTTTCTGTTGCTTTCAGCTGAGAGCATCCTTAACTGGTACACCAACTTCTCTAGGGTATCATCAAGGAAGGCTTCACCAAGGAGTGACATCTGAGCTGGGTTTCAAGGCTGGCCTAATCAGGTGGAGAAACAGTGTGTAACAGCAAGGGAGCATGAAATAGCTTGGCTTCCAGATCACTGGGTGGATGGAGGGGATGGTGACAAAAGCCAGGGGTAAAGAAGTAAAAAGGGAGCAGATCCTTGCGGCTTGCATGCCACGGATGCATTGAGACTTGATTCTGTGTCTTGTGGATTGAAAGGTTTTATTTAATTTTTATTATTTTATTAATTTATTTATTGAGATGGAATCTCGCTCTGTACCCAGGCTGGAGTGCAGTGGTGAGATCTTGGCTGACTGCAACCTGTGCCTCCCCAGTTCAAGCAATTCTCCTGCCTCAGCCTCCCGAGTAGCAGGGATTACAGGAACCCACCATCACACCAGGCTAATTTTTGTATTTTCAGTAGACACGGGGTTTCACCATGTTGACTACGCCAGTCTTGAACTTCTAACCTCAGGTGATCTGCCTGCCTCGGCCTCCCAAAATGTTGGGATTACAGGTGTGAGCCATGGCACTCAGGCTATATATTTATTGAGACGGAGTTTTGCTCTGTCGCTGGGCTGGAGTGCAATGACACGATCTCTGCTCACTGCAACCTCTGCCTCTAGAGTTCAAGTGATTCTCCTGCCTTGGTCTTCTGAGTAGCTGGAATTACAGGTGCCTGCCTCCACACCTGGCTCATTTTTGTGTTTTTAGTAGAGGCGGGGTGTCGCCATGTTGGCAAGGTTGGTCTCGAACTCCTGACCTCAGGTGATCTGCCTGCCTCGGCCTCCCAAAGTGCTGAGATTACAGGCATGAGCCATTGTACTTGGTCTATTTGTTTTTTTGAGACGGAGTCTCATTCTGTCACCCAGGTTGGAGTGCAGTGGTGTGATCTTGGTTCACTGCAACCTTTGCCTCCTGGGTTCAAGGGATTCTCCTACCTCAGCCTCCTGAGTAGCTGGGATTACAGGCATGAACCACCACGCCCGACCAATATTTGTATTATTATTTTTTTCCAAGTAGAGACAGGGTCTCACCATTTTGGCCAGGCTAGTCTTGAACTGCTAATGCAAAGTGATCCTCTCACCTTGGCTTCCCAGAAGTGTTGAGATATAGGCATGAGCCACTGTGCCTGGCCAAGTTTTTATTTGTATTTTTTTCAAGAAAAGGTCCCACTGTTGCCCAGGCTGGAGTGCAGTGGTGGCATCACAGTTCACTGAAGCCTCAACCTCCCCAGGCTCAGGTGATCCTTCCGCCTCAGCCTCCTGAGGGGATAGAACCAGAGGTGCATACTACCACACCCAGCTAATTTGTTGTTGTTGTTGTTGTTGTTGTTGTTGTTGTTGTTGTTGTTTTGTATTTTTGTGTAGAGACGGGATTTGGTCATGTTTCTCAGGCTAGTCTCAAACTCCTGGGTTCAAGCAATCTGCCCACCTTGCCTTCCCAAAGTGTTGGGGTTACAAGTGTGAACCACCACATCTGGGCAGATTGAAAGGTTTTAAAATTAGATTTGCTATTTGGATCACTCTCTTGGTTGTGTGTGGGATG